GACAATAGTGGTGAGGGGTGGGGTAGTGGGGATGGGTGGCAGTTATGACGATGACAGTGGTAGGATGGTGGTCGGGTGGCTGGGAGTGGATGGGTATAACAACGACAATAGTGGCATGGTGGTTAGTGGTGGGGTGGAGTAGGGTGAGGGTGAGTGGCAGCTGTGATAGCGACAATAATGGTGTGGTGGTGGGGGTTAGGTTAGGGGCGTGACAATAACGGTAGTAGCATGGTCGTAGTAAGGATGTGCAGTGAGTGACCGGGGGTGGGTGGGTGTGATGACAACAGTAATGGCATGGTGGTTAGTGGTGGGGTAGGGTGGGTGGTGGTGACATTAGTGGTGTGGTGGTGGTAGTAGGGGGTTAGGGGTGGGGCATCACAAACAGTAGTAGCATGGTCATTATGTGTAACACCCTTGAATTTCTCCCCTCCCTCAGTCTCCTTTCCTTTTTTATATATTTGTATGTATATGTATTTAAGTGTATTAAATTATGGGGATTTAGTATTTTTTTTTATTTTGTTTGATCATTCAAAAGAGTAGAGATCTTCTTGATGATTTACCTAGTGGTAACTTTAGAACTAGGGGTAAAAGTAGGACTAGGGGGGGCTAGAGTATAGAGATCTTGTCTTTTACCACTCTTAAAACCTGAGCTTAGGCCACAACCCTTTGGGTCAATAAGAAAAAGAGAGACTTTGATTGATTGAAATGGAAAAAGCTGGAAAATAAGGGGGATGGGTGGAAGCATGGGAGAAAGGAAAAATAAAGAAGGAATCTAAGCTATTACCTTCGGCATGTGAAGGAAGAAACAGGAGCARCAAGCCCGTGGAGAAGAAACAGCAAGCAACTGTTCATTGATCTGCAGGAAGAGGAGGAACCAACAGCAGCAAGTTTCTGTTCGATCGAGTGGGARACGAAGAAGGAAACATCTAACCCTTGATCATCGAGGGAGCAACAGCAGCCTCGGCACCTGTGCGTTCTCAGATCACTATCAGCCGCAGCAGACGCTGCACAGCGACAGGTAGCAGACGCTACAGCCCGGCCTTCGTTCTTCCCCGTCAAACAGCAGTCGAAAGGGGGCTGTTTCTCCGCCTTTTTCGCCGAGACAGCAGCAGCAAAACAGCAGTCGAAAGGGGSCTGTTTCTCCGCCTTTTTCGCCGAGACAGCAGCAGCAAAACAGCAGTCGAAAGGGGGCTGTTTCTCCGCTTTTTCGCCGAGACAGCAGCAGCAAAATAGGAGGTCGAAGGGGCCGTTTCTCCGTCTTTTTTCATCGACAAACAGCAGCCTGCAGGTGCTGTTTTGTTCCACTTCCTTTACCCGGTTAGCAACTACCGCCGTGCCTTGTCTAGCAGGTTGCTGTTGGGCACGCGACAGGTCGGAAAGAAACAGCAGGTTGCTGTTGGGCACGCGACAAGTCGGAAAGAAACAGCAGGCTGCTATTGGGCA